AATTGCAAGTTTACATCTCGCAATTCTGACTTTTTTTTCTCCTGAGAATTGCATAAAAAATATATAAATATATATAAAACAATTGCGAGTTATAAAGTCAGAATTGCGATATAAACTTATCTCAGTCCGCCCTGCGTAATCCGCACAGGAAGTTTACCTTTCCGGAGAGCATACACTGGCCGTTTTTCCAGACTTGGATAAGTGACAGATTAATTGGGAATGGGAACCAGGCTCACACGGCCTGCTCTGCATTTGCCAATGTCTTTATCAGAGAATTGAAGCATGTTTAACCAGGATTGAGTGCAGACTTTCCAAATGAAACCCTCAATCATCAAGACAGAGATTGATTCTGTTTCATATGCCGCACCATTTTGATTTAAAGGCCTTGTATCATACTTTTTTCTCTCTTTTGAGGTCACATTATAATGTTGGTTAGGACAGAAAAAATGTACGTGTGTGAGATTTATATTTATTCATATTTTTTAATATCCTACTTCCTCATTAGCATCTCTGACACTAAATAGACAGTCATATATTAATGCTTCAAGTTTCATATGTCAGAAATCTAGCTGGGAACTGGAAAATATATATTTTTAGTAGAACAGTGTGTTCTTTTATCACAAAAGATTAAGGAAAATTTGATTCCTTGTTATATGACCCCTTTAATTTATGATTTATGTTTTATTTATTTCTTTCTTTTTGACTGTCTGCACTTTATCTAGAGACAGAAAATTGCGTGCAGAGCTCCAGAGACGGCAGTCACACTGATTTGCGTTCAACCCCAGGGGCCATTAAACTTCACCTTTTTCAGTAGCAGGGAGATTTGACTAAGTGAACTCAGATCTCCTTATGCTTGAATGCAAAAGGATTTTTTATTCGGTGGAGGAACGGGTTTCCATATTTTTCACTTAATAGTTTCAAAAACGTTAATTTTAGTTAGTTTATGCAGCAAGCCAGTGTTCCATTCTGAACATAGCCTTGTTTTTTTTTAGCTTTATCTATAAGTGATAGTCTTCCTGCTGATTCTTGCGCCACTGTTTCCTCGCTTCCACCTTCCCCTTGTTCTTTCTCTCTCCCTCACTTTGTAAAAGACGTGTTCATATAAAGAAAGGCTGTAAAGTTGAGTTCTGAATGCGTTTGCCGCTGAACACACACGCTTTTCAGGTGCAGAAACGCGACAGGCAGGTGGAACTGGAGTGACCATTAAGCCTCATCTGTTGGAGCCAGTCACGGTTTACTTTGGCCGGGGACCAGAAGTCCTGCGAGGGCGAGGAATTGGCAGAGCTTCAGGTTGAACATGTCTGCTGATCCAAACAGTTGGGGAGGGCGAATGTGGTAGTCCAAGAAGCCTCTGGGTCATGTTTTCACTGGGGCACGGGTATGTATCCACTTTATTTGTAACGTGAGACTGGGCGCGGAGTTCCTAACTTGAATGTGCGAGACTTCCAGTGACATTCCCTTCCAGTTATTTTACCTGTAAAAACAGTCCTTTATGCTGCCTGATACTGCAAAATGGTATTTGTTATCCTACTGTTTAGCTTATTATAATCATAAACATGCTTGTGGTCTGTAGCGCAAATAGTTTTACCGTTCATGCACATTTTGTTATTTTTAGTTATTTATCCTCAGCGGTAAATGAAGTGGAAGTCTCGCGAGTCCAAACAAAATGGCTTTCTTTCGCGTTGCGAAATAAGGTGGATACATATGCTATGATTTCTGTTAGCTTTAGGTGTGTAGATGTTTTAAAGTAAACATGAAATGCTAATACAATGTATATGAAATAGGATATTTAGTGAGGGGAAAAGTTGGGTGTAAGTCCAAAAACATGCATAGAGAAAGAAGGCAAATAGGGTTTTCATTCGATTTGTACTACTTTTTCTTAAGTTCTTCCTGGAGATGGATGGTTTTAACAGGCTTGCCCGTGACATAAGGGCTACAAAAATGAAGCAGAACATTTTAAGATTAGGAATGGGCATTGTGAACCAATGTCCAATCCCTTGTTATCCAATGTCCCACATTCCCAAGAGGACTGCAGCAGAAATCCACCCCAGATACCAGACAGGAGGCATCTCAGTCCGCCCTGCGTAATCCGCACAGGAAGTTTACCTTTCCGGAGAGCATACACTGGCCGTTTTTCCAGACTTGGATAAGTGACAGATTAATTGGGAATGGGAACCAGGCTCACACGGCCTGCTCTGCATTTGCCAATGTCTTTATCAGAGAATTGAAGCATGTTTAACCAGGATTGAGTGCAGACTTTCCAAATGAAACCCTCAATCATCAAGACAGAGATTGATTCTGTTTCATATGCCGCACCATTTTGATTTAAAGGCCTTGTATCATACTTTTTTCTCTCTTTTGAGGTCACATTATAATGTTGGTTAGGACAGAAAAAATGTACGTGTGTGAGATTTATATTTATTCATATTTTTTAATATCCTACTTCCTCATTAGCATCTCTGACACTAAATAGACAGTCATATATTAATGCTTCAAGTTTCATATGTCAGAAATCTAGCTGGGAACTGGAAAATATATATTTTTAGTAGAACAGTGTGTTCTTTTATCACAAAAGATTAAGGAAAATTTGATTCCTTGTTATATGACCCCTTTAATTTATGATTTATGTTTTATTTATTTCTTTCTTTTTGACTGTCTGCACTTTATCTAGAGACAGAAAATTGCGTGCAGAGCTCCAGAGACGGCAGTCACACTGATTTGCGTTCAACCCCAGGGGCCATTAAACTTCACCTTTTTCAGTAGCAGGGAGATTTGACTAAGTGAACTCAGATCTCCTTATGCTTGAATGCAAAAGGAGGACAAGGTATTTACCTATCTCAGCAAGCCAATGCGAGGCAGCGTCAGCATCTCTGCTGGGATAATCTCCTTCCAGGAAAAACAATGTGCATTCCAATTTTCATCACTCCATTTAATGAGCCCCGGGGTTGCATTTTTGTCTGTTGTTTGGAGTCCTTGGAGAGTCTTTGCTAATTCAAATAGCAATGCTGTTGTAGTATGTTTGCAGAATACCAAATAAATATCCTCAGCCTACATGCATGTGTGTGTATGTGGTTGTGTGTGTCCTACAGGCAATAAGATTGGGATTTGGAAGTGTATGATGTATGGGTGAAATTTAAATCCAAAGAGATTTATTTTAGATGTCTGCAAATATTAATGCATCATTCATGGAGACGATACCATCAAGCCTCTGTGAAATGAAATGTGGCAACATCACAACCCTCCTGAATTTACAAAGGCAACTCCAGGACCACTGGAAATGTTGTGCAGTCTTGGTTGTAAAATAATTATTGCTTTCTATTGTGTGCTTATATGTAAGTATGTATGTATATAAAAGATTTGATAAGAATTTATTTTTGTTTATTTATTGGTTGTAAAATAATCTGTTGTATATTATTTTCACACACACACACACATTTACTTAGCTATCTAAATGGGGACATTCCATAGACGTAATGGTTTTTATACTGTACAAACTGTATTTTCTATCGCCCTACTAAACCTACTCCTTACAGGAAACTTTCTGCATTTTTACAATTTTAAAAAACGTTGTTTACTTTATTTTTATACCAGTTTTACAAATGAGGACGTCCCCAAAGGGAGGTTTTTTGGAGATTTTGTCAGGTTTAGCTCACTTTTGGGTACAAGTTTGTCCCCAAAATATGGTTAAGTATGTATGGTTATGGTTATGTATGTATGTATATAACATTTTCTATAATATTTTATTCTTTTTATAATTTTGGTTTTAAAATAGTCATACTGCTCTATATGAAAAACAAATAAATATAAAAGAATAATATATAAAATGTACAAAATATTTTATTTTATTCTTTTATTTACTTTGCTCATATACAGTATATCCCCCTTCCTCAATATTTACATTGTTGAAATGTAAATTGGTAGTCATGTTTAATGTTTAATTCTTTTAGGGAGTAGGAATTTATATAAGCATGCTGTTCATTGTATTTTATATCCTCCTATTCCCTGTATAGTAACCAGATCTTGACAACCATTGATCGGAGATATAAAACAGCCTCCATTAACTAGGCAAACAGTGAAGTCCATCTGTTGTTCAAACAGATCAAAACCCTTCTGAAAAAATGATGCCCATTACATTGTTTTCAGCAAGTGATTATAATTTTGTTGAGCATGCTTCTCAAAGCAGTTTGCGTTTTATAAGAGTGTAGAGAAATAAGCTAAATGCAGCAGCATGAGTCATTTTGGAACACCTGTTTATTTAGAAATTCCGTTTGAATTCTAGTCAATATGAATCACAACAGGATGTCACTATTAAGTTTGATGTCTCTTGGAACAATGATAATAGCGACCTCTATGGATTAAAACTGAGAACTGTTATAATCATGCGGTATGAGTCAACGCGCTCTCTCTCTCTCTCTCTGTAGGGTCATAATTCATAATAATTATGATTCTATAACAGTGCTGCTTTCCACAGATGTAGACAAAACTACCAGCACATATTTCCATCAGTGAACAGAACGGCTTCTTGCGCTCCTCATTTGCAAGTCACTTTGAATAAAAGCATCTGCTAAATCAACATAAGTGAATTGAATAGAATCACTTGTGTTGTTGTTGTTGTTGTTGTTTTGAATAAAATAATAGCATCCGCTGAAATGTGAGCAGAATGGAAGTCTCGTCATGTTACTTCAAACGCAGTCATAAGTGCGGTTTTCAGTGTAATACTTTTTTTGGCCATGAGCTTTTACATATTCCCTAATGAATAATCATCTCATTTACAGTCAGAAGACTGTGGAACGCGTCTGAAGCGTTCTGATACTGTACACTGAGTTCTTGAACCGCACAGAGTTCCGTCGAGCCAATCAGATGCAAGTAGGCGTGACTTTGAATACATCCAGCCAATCGTCGCGCAGTGGGCGCGGCTTCGCACCGGCGTTGTAAACAGTGTAAAGCAGGAGTCAGGAGGTGTGTATAAATATCAGGGTGTCTCCAGTGCTGTCATATGAACTCATGCCGCTCATCAGCTGCTTGTAGACCGCACTGTTTCCGTGGAGCTGACGGCAATCTGCTCACGCTACAGGTTGGTCTGCACTTCTGGACCTTTATCTTTGTGGATTTTGAAACTCATGAATGATGTCACTGTATACTTTGAAGGGTACAAACCGACATGTGTACTTGAGTGAGACAAGTGCGCTTTGATTTCTGCTGATCTGTGTCTCACAGGTGGCGGTGAGCGGCGCGTAAAGGTGCGTCTTTTCTCATTTCGTGCCATGCATTGCGCGCTCGTGTGTTTTATCCAGTGCCATTTTTGCACAGTGTCAACACAGCCGGCGCGTTTTTGCAAGCGAGACCGTCTCAGACATTGCATAGAGAAACCTATTCCAGTTCTGTGAGTTTGCGAGTGTTTGTGGCAACATGTTTCTCAGGTGCAAGTTCAGACATAAAGAGCATTAACAGCTCGCGATTGTGACATGCGCATCGTTTCATCTGATGATAGTCGAGATAAGACACCGACAGATTGCTATCTTACATCCTCATGTAATAACGGTTTGATAGCCTATGTAATGTGATATGAGAATGTGGTACAGTAGGCTATGCTATGTGCAATAATGTATAATAGTTAGGGGCAGATATTAAATCTTATAGTGTGATATTGTATAATGTGGTAACAAATAGGATTGTTTAGTGTACTGTATATTGTGTAGTACAGTGTGATGTGTGGAGTCAGTATAGTACTGTGCTAATGTGCAAGGGTAGCATAGTATAGTATGGTATAATACAGTATAATGTGAGATCATAGCATTTTCTTTTGAGTTATATACCTCAAATATTAGCATGCACCTTCACCTTTCCCACGACACCTGGAAAGTAGGACCCTGTGAAGGACGACGGTTTCCACCCATTTCATCATCATCTTGGAAATCAAGGTATGCAATGCTTTATTACTCTCTATTGTGCATGTGACAATATTGAAAAGCATACTTCCACTGGAAATCAATGGTGTGATTGTGCTTGTGTAAACCAGTTAGCCCGGGAATGAAGTAGATCCACATTCCACCCAAAAAGCCATTCGATTGTGATGTGATGCTTCACGGTATCTAAGACAAAGATGATTTCCATACTGCACATGCTGTGAAAAAGATCCTTGTTATGGCATCTCCGCCTCTGTGGTCACCAGACGAATGGCATGGTACCAAGCCAGAAGTTCATGTGTGGAATTCATTGCATGCAGCAAGTGCACGCAGACTCTTCTGTGTCCAAACAATGCAGAGTGGCAGCAAGTTGTTTTCGTGCATCTGTGAAATTACAGCCCCTCATATGTGGTGCCCAGCAAGTGGGCAGTTGTTTTTTTCAAGCCCCATTCATCAGCCACTAAATGGTGTGTGAAATTGTAGAGGGCATATATCGCTCTCTCTAGCTCTGCTGTGTGAGAGGGTTGGAGTTTATTTATTCCTTTAGACTACTTGTTAGTGCAAACAAGTAGTATGAAACCTTTTCAAAAGTGTTATTCCTTGGTGCATAATGTACTCATTTTTAGTTTTAGCAATTTTAGTAATTCCCGGGCTAACAAGAAACGTTCTCAGAATGTTCTGGCAAGGTTCTATCAAAGTTAAGAACTAACATTTTCCAGTAATGTTAATATGATGTTATTTGGTTTTTACTAATGTTCTCAAAACGTTAGAACAAAAACGTTCATGGAACGTTTTATTTCTGAAACATGTTAGTTAAGACATTCCTTTAAAGTTTTTCAAAGTTGTTTCAAAACGTCCAGAGAACATTCAAAAAGTAACATTCTCATAATGTTTGCATGTTCCCTTAACGTTCGTATAACCAAGAAAATGCGTTAAAACATTAAAAAATTGGACGTTTTGAACGTTCGAGGAACATTCAGAAACATTGTTTTCATAACTTGATGAAAGTAAACAAAACGTTCTTAGAACACATTTTTGTGTTTCAGTTCTTATTTTCGTTTGAGTTTTTCATATAATATTTATATTTGACTTTATTTCAACCTCTGAAAAAAGTAAAACATGAATATAAAATTAAACATGAAATAAATGTAAAATATAAAACAAAAATGACACAAAATATTTTATTTTATATTCATATAAAATATATATATATTTTTAATCCAGCAATAAAAACCAGAATATCATAGAGACTTCGAGTTTTGCACAGGCGAGAACATTTTCATTGCAAACAATATTTAAAGCACGTGATGTTCCGGTGTCCAGATTTTCATGCCGATCTGTATGTTGGCATACACATTTGAATGCAGTCCAGCATTTCAGCTCTGCAGAGTTGGATTTTTTTATTGAGAGCTTTCATCTAGTAGTAACTCGTGCATTGTGGGCAGGGGTCTTGACTCTTGTGTGCGAGTGCCAGTTATTTTAGGCTGTTCATTAAACACCTATGAGATGCAATGACTGGCTTCAGGCTGACCTAGTTGAAGACAGGTGGAGGCAGACAGATGTCCTGTTGCAGTGTGTGTGCATGTATGCACGTGAGTTTAGGACACAGTGTTCGAATTTGGCCGATACCTTCTTATTGCAACAGCCTTTGAGTCAGGTGTGCGCTTGTCATGTCTTGAAATGAGCTTACTAGTTTGTAGAGCGTACCAGTTTGGTCAGTTTTGAGGTTCTGTTTCAGTTAGTATGCTGCTTTAGATAGTAGACAGCAAGGCAGATGACTAGGTTTTGGAACAGAACCATCTGAATTCCCAATGCCTGTGTCTCTCTCCTTCATCCTTTCTCTTGCCTCTGGGCTAAATCTAGGTCTGAGTTATAAATCAGCTTGTAACTACAGTCCAAGCCTGACCACAACAGATAAAATCCTTGAAATATCACTAAAGACTTATGAAAGAGTACATGTTGTAGCACCTTATCACCAATGACTCATGTTTCAAGCTGCAGTTGGAAAAATGTCATAAATGGCGTATCAAAAGCATTGTGAACCTTTAGTTCATGACTAATGTATCAAGTCATTATTTGCTCCATTCCTTGACAACAACATATCAAACACATCTGTAATTGTGAAAGGAGTAGTTCACAGAAAAAAAATGCTCTGTCATTTACTGTTGTTTCCAATCTGGACGCTGTTACTTTTTTTCAGTGGAACAAAAAAAAGATAAATATTTGAAGAATAGTCATGCAGTTGTTTTCCACACAATGACAGTTTATAGTAGGGATGCACCGATATGAAAATTTTGGCCGATACCGATAACCGATTATTCTTTATTTTTGAAAGCCGATAACCGATATGTTGGCCGATAAATCTATATCCAAATTGTTATATACTTTTTGAGAGCCTGATTACAAAAAAGGTCTCATCATTAAAAGCCACATCCCAAACACTTCAACATAAGCAGCCTAGTTTGAACGGTGTACGTTTTAAAAATATTTTTACTCTCCCATTACCAAATTTAGTCATAAAAAAGTCTTACAAATAAATAAAATAATGCATAAATAATGCAAACAAGTCACTGGACATCATTACACATGTAAAGAATCAAAATGAATGCGCCATAGATCAATAAAACGGAATAGCCTCTGCACGGACAATAATTAAATGATTTTAATTACTAAACCATATTGTTGATGAAAATAATAAGAGAAAAATACAAGTGGTTGTTGTTATTAATAATATATCAATGATTTTGAAAAAGTAACAAATTAATACCACTGTTTTAAATAGCAGCCATTGAGCTGCAGCTCAAGCTGAAGCTGAAGAGCTGAATGAACACGGTAAACTGAAGCGTTTTGCTGGCAGCTTATTTAACTCAAGGAAATGCATCCTGAGATTAATATTAATACAACATAAACATAATATTACAACTTATATATGAAATGACAAATGACGCAGTTATTGCATGCTATAGTCAGAATGTGTGATCCTGTTGTGGATGCGCTCTTCCCATAACAACGCGCTGAAACACGGCAACTAAACCCAAAGAATTCACAACGTTTTATTATAATAATGTTCTCATTAGAATGTTATATACACAACATTCCCAATCATAGTTATTAATGTTGTGCACTGCTGTTTGAGCTGCGTGCGCTGAGCTAAAGACGATCACCGGTAAACTGAAGTGCTCTTTTAACTTAACCAAACGCATTCTATATGAGATAAATCAGATATACATCAAATAAACACAATATTACAATGTACAATTGCACAAAAGGCTGCAAACGAACAGCGCGCATCTGAAGTGTCTCTGAAGGAAATAATGCATTATTTATCGGCTTTAAGATATCGGCCAAATTTTCTTATCAGGCCGATACCGATAACAGAAAAAATGAGCCGATATGGGCCGATACCGATATGGTGGCCGATATATCGTGCATCCCTAGTTTATAGTGACATTGACTGTCAAGCTGTGTTATTTTGCCATTTTTTAATACTGTATACTGTTGTAGTGTTTTGAATGAAGTTTTAGCGATTTTGTTTTGTGCTTTTATAATTTTTTAAATCTTTAAAAACTTTTTTTAAACCTTTAATTTATATTTATGTTTTAGTAATTTTAGTACTTCAACTTATTTTCAGTTATTTGCTTTTCGTTTAAGTTTTACGTTTTTCACGTAATATTTATATTTTACTTTTATTTTAGCTTTATTTCAATTGACATAACACTGCTGTCAAGCTCCAAAAAGAATAAAAAACACCCTAAGGAGCCATTCATTTGTCTTAAAGATGCATTCATGTGTTAGAAAACATCGAGACGCAGCGGAATGGAAGGGAATAGAATGCAGGGGTCTAACTATTTTTAACGTGGCGTCTTAAAAATGTGGTGCACATGGTGTCAGATGCTGAAAAAGCATTGAGATCCTTTGATTGTTGAAAGACGTTCATCTAAACCAAAATATAACACTGCAGAAAGCAAGAATATATCTTGATTGAACAATTTCTATAAGGACCATAAAAGAAATGAATTGCGAGAATCATATAATATGCTAAAGTCATATAATAGCTTTGTGTGAAGAACACATTCGGCCAAAACATGCTCAGTGTGCCAAGACGCCATTTTGAATCTAATTTTGATTCAACATATGGGTAGATTATTAGTGAATAACCACTTATATT